CAATAGCAAAGATGACCTGGAACCAACCCAAATGCCCATCGATGATAGACTGGACAGGGAAAATGTGGCACATATACACCATGGAATATTATGCAGCCAACAAAAACGATGAGTTTGTGTCCTTTGTAGGGACATGGATGAACCTGGAAACTTGTGTCAGCAAACTGACACAAGAGCACAAAATCGAACACCGAATGTTCTCACTCAAAGGCAGGTATTAAACAATGAGAACACATGGACACAGGGAGGGGAGCACTACACACTGGGGAAATAGGGGAGGGACAACGGGGGGTGGGGAGTTGGGGAGAGATAGCATGGGGAGAAATGCCAGATATAGGCAATGGGGAGGAAGGCAGCAAATCACACTGCCATGTGTGTACCTGTGCAACAATCTTGCATGTTCTTCACATGTACCCCAAAACCTAAAATGCAATAAAATAAGTTTAAAAAAAAAGAAATTAGAACATCATCAGAGTCATCCAAAAAGAATCAATTAATTGAATAATTAAAAATAAACTGTAGACCTATTATATACCAGTACGACCGAATCTGCTGAAACTAGGGATTACTTCCTTTTCTGGTCAGGCAATGAGATTAGAGTTTCAGGGCATTGGAAAAGAAAGAAACCAGAGGATTTGTACTGTTCCTTACCTCCTATCCAAGATAATATAGGCAACATTCATACATTATCCACACTGTTTCCAGTTTTCTATCACAGGAGGGGCTTTGCCAAATGTATAGACAGTACTGGACTACCAAAACATCTCTTGTTTTGGAGTGTAGACATAAAGGAATTGGTCCGCAGCTCAAATCCAAGCTTTAAAGGATGTCCAGACAACTGTTTCAAAAAGGTTTCTACCTCTGAGACCGAAGTTATAGACCTTTAGTGAAATCCAGTTATAACCTACCTGCTTGTCTCATTCAGAGAGGCAAGGGGCAAGGTCTATTTTTCCCCCCCTTCTAAACAAGTAAACATGATTTCTAAACCAAGAGGAACTTTATAGTGGGTTAAATGGTGCCCTCCTGCACACCCAAAGATATATCCACGTCCTAATTCCCAGAACCTGTAAATGTGACCTTATTTGGAAAAAGGATCTTTGCAGATATAATTGGGTTAAGGATCTTGAGATGAGATCATCCTGGATTTAGGTGGGTGACTGAATATGCAAATGTACAACAGCCAGACCATATGTAAAAACAGAACTCTGACCCACAACCTGCAGCAAGCAACCCAGGAAACCAACCCATTATCTACAGTAACCAGTCCGGGAAGTCTATAAATTAGACTTGTAGCAAGTCATATCACTATCTCTAGTAAGAATCCTACGAAACAAACAATAAACAATTGGCCCAAATGGCCAGTACTGGATTAATAACTGGCATCTTCCCTAACTTTTGTTCCTATTTCCAAGTTGAGACTAACAAGAAGAAGCTGAATATGCCCCCCTGACCAATCACATAGAATGCTCCACTTGCTTCCTCATGCCAAGAGCCTCTAATCAGGGCATGCTCACTCCTCTGGCTGCCTTTGACTCTGCTAAAATGCAAAAGATGGTGATTCCCTCCCTTACAAGGTCTGAATAAATAGCCTTTGCTTGTTCTCATTTGATTGATCATCATTTATTTCTACACAATAATGCTTGTAAGAGAAAGGTAGAGGGCTATTTGAAACTTAGAACCACAGGGAAGAAGACCATTTGACGATGGAGGCATGGAGCTCCAAGTCACTTAGGCCCTAGGCAAAGAACACCTGGAGTCACCAGACGGAAGAGGTAAGCAAAAGATGCAAGGTCCTGTCAATGCCTCAGTTTCATAATCTGGCCTCCATAACTGTGAGAGAACAAGTTTTTGCTGTTTTTAGTCACCCAATCAATGTTAATTTGTTATGGCAGCCCTAGGAAACTAACAAAAGCTTTTAGCAAGGAAATATGCATCTCCTTCATGGCCTTTTCTGGAAAGATCCATAAACCTTAATGTAAATGGCTTACAAACAACTGTTTTGTTTTTTAAAATTCTACTTCTTCTCATGAGAAGATTTACATAGCATTATAAAAGTGTCTGGGGATTTCTTCAGTGGTTTCCCTTAATAGGCAGGCACTATCTCTGCCATCAAAACACTCTCGGGAGAAAGACACATAGTCAATTAAAATGAAGGGGTACAGTAGCCGATATCTTAGCCTATCTACACATAACCTCTAACCAGTTAACTCACTCTATTTCGGTTGTAAGTCATAAGTGGCTATGTCCCATATCAGATTTGCTGGATAACAGTAAATCTGTCTATGTCTGCTCCTATCAGTTGACTTGTTCAATCTGATGACTTACTTGTGTTTGTTTGCAAACCTGTTTTCACCATTTGTACTTGATATTGTACTGTCATAACTACGATATTAACTTATGAATATTGTATAAACCAATGAAATAGTGTGGAAATTATTGTTTCTTTAAAAATCTATGTTCAAGGCCGGGCATGGTGGCCTGTAATCCCAGCACTTTGGGACACTGAGGTGGGCGGATCATGATGTCAAGAGATTGAGACAATCCTGGCCAACACGGTGAAACCCCATCTCTACTAAAAATACAAAAATTACCTGGGTGTGGTGGTGCACACCTGTAGTCCCAGCCACCTAGGAGGCAGAGACAGGAGAATTGCTGGAACCAAGTGGGTGGAGGTTGCAGTGAGCCAAGATTGCGCCACTGTACTTCAGCCTGATGACAGAGCGAGATTCCGTCTAAAAAAAAAAAAATCTATGTTTAATATTTTGGAAACATCCAACAAAGGTATGCGAGATTAACTGTAAAAGATTATAAAGTATAGTGGTAACTCACGCCTATAATGCCAGCACTTTGGGAGGCCAAGGTGGGTGGATCATGAGGTCAGGAGTTCGAGACCAGCCTGGCCAACATGGTGAAACCCCATCTCTACTAAAAATACAAAAATTAGCCAGGCGGGGTGGCACACACCTGTAATCCTAGCTACTCAGAAGGCTGAGGCAAGAGAATTGCTTGAACCTGGGAGGCAAAGTTTCTAGTGAGCCAATATCATGCCACTGCACTCCAGCCTGGGCAACAGAGTGAGATTCCGCCTCAAAAACAAACAAACAAAAAGATTATCAAGTATAAATCCACCCTCAGATTGTTTCACAAGTGGCTTTAAGTTATTTTCCCCTTAAAAGAACAGTATCTTGGGAAATCTTAGCTGACACTTTAGGGGTATGGTTTATGCAAGAGATAGAATGCAGAATTCCAACGTAGACTACATGCAAAGAAAAGGTCTTGGACCTTTTCAATAGATTTGGCAAGTGAACACACAGTTGTTTTAGATTAGAATACAGTTTAAGGTATTTATGTTATACTTTTTCATGATTCTGTGGTTTGCCAACAATAAATATTTACAACAATAAAGTATAACGTAAATACCTTAAACTGTATTCTTTTTTGTTTTAAAAAAGCTTTTTTAAAGATATAATTTACATACCACAAAGTTCATCCTTATAAAGTGTACAATTTAATATTTAACAATTTTTTTCCATTTATTGCTTGGCTATGTGCCATCTATGAGAAGGCTTCTTACATAAAATGTAAAGAAGCTATTAATTTTCCTTGATGAAGGATGGGGATTCAGGGAAGATTATGTTTGAGCTTGAAGAGCCTTGTACAAAAAGTAGCAGTTAGGCATACAAGAGGAGGTATTGTGTTAAGTATTGTGCTAAGTAGAGGAACTGCAAATGTAAAGAATGAAATTATGTGGCCTCCAAAGAACAACTTTTATTTGAGTGGCTTGGGACTAGGTTGTTTTTATTTTTTTTCAAACTTAATTATGCATCTGAATCATACATAGAGATTAAAAAACAAAACAAAACAAAAAAGCAACGCAAAACATGCTCAGGCCTGACTCCTAGAGATTCTGATTCAATGTATCTGGGGTGGAGTCTCAACATTATTTTTTTTAAAGTTGCGCTTGTAGTTCTGATTTGCAGCCAACACTGAGAACCACTGGAGTAGGACAGAGTGAAAATGGGATGAGGAAGTGTTAGGACACGACACTAGGAACAGATGGTGAGAGGAAATGGTATGCAAATACAATATAACAAACTCTCTCTCCCCTGACAACTTCATTCTTTTGAAATATTTTCATTTTTTACTGCCACTACTGTTGCATGAAAGAATATGAATTCCTACCACTGTAAAAACAAAGACAATTGTTTAAAACCTTTGTAACTAAAAGACCTATTTTGCTTCAGGTACTAAGCTGTTGCAAAAGTAATTGCAGTCTTTGTCAATGGCAAAAGCCGCAATTACATTTGCACCAACCATTAATAATATTTAGCATGAAACCAACTCAGGGCAGAGCGCACCATCTGATTGGGTGTACCATCTACTGCTCCGGGCTCTTAACAAATGACCAAAGAAAATGCGAATTTTGACAAAACTGGTGCTAGAGCTATTGAAGGGTGGGTTCCTATTCTGGGTGAGCGCTCCCATTCTCTAGCCAAGACGAGAACGCGCCTACCCCAGAGAGCTCTTCCAACTCCCAGCCATCTGAGATTATGAGACAAAGGTTCTTTAGCACCGATCAAATGAGCAACAATAAAGAAAAAAGGGACCTCTCCTTCCATCATACCCAGTTCCTCAAGAAGCTCCATTTCTGTTACTCTTAGCTGGGGAGGTGGGAAGACACAGCATGGGGAGAAATGACAGATACAGGTGAGGGGAAGGAAGGCAGCAAACCACACTGCCACGTGTGTACCTATGCAACAATCTTGCATGTTCTTCACATGTACCCCAAAACCTAAAATGCAGTAAATAAATCAATAAAATTAAAAATTAAAATTAAAAAAAAAAAAAGAAGGTCGGATATTTTTTCCCTTTACCATACACTGGCCTTCCACGTCCTCATGCGGAGTATTTTCAAATAAATGAACGTTATAATCCCGGAGGACACATCAGGGATGCTACACTGCACCTTTATCACGGTTTTAGGGATGAGGGCCTTTTACTCCAGTCTTGCTGGTGGCACATATCTCAAAGGGCCATAGAGGACAGCTGTATTGTGAACACGAGCGAAGGCGCCCGAAAGGGTGTGGGTCCCACCCGCAAGAAAGAACCAGCGCGGACACAATGGCTTGTTTCTGGAAACGAACGAACAACAGCAGCAGCAAAACAGTAAAAACATCTCCTCGAGGGGGCCCCTGACTTGCCCCCGCCTAGATGGCCGTGAGGAAACCCAGCGTCCTGACCACACTGCCGCGTCAGCGAGGGGTCCTCGGAAGGGGAAGCCGGGACGGCAGCTTCCGTCAGCTGAAGGGAGTCCGCGGCGCACGCCCGAGGCCGCCCCGGCAGCCCCGCCTCCGCGAGCCGCCCCTTCGCCCGCCCGGCGCCCCCTCGCGGCGCCCGCCGCTCCTTCCCCCCGCCGCCCCGCGCTCTGACCCGGCCGCTGGTTCCCTCCCCGTGCACTCTGGAGATCCGCAGTTCCCGCCACCCGGAGCCCGCTCCCGGGGCCCGTCATTCCGCACCCCAATCCCTCCTCAAGGGGCCCTTCGCCGACTCCCGGCGACCCACTCGCTAACCCGCCGGGCTCCGGCCCGAGGGCCCTCTCGCGACTCCGGCGCTGGTTCCTCTAACCCCGGCGGAGCTGCGGGGTGCCGGCTCGGCTGGCCGCCCAAACCCGGAAATGCTGAGGCAGCAGCGAGCGCGCGGCGCTGGGCTCATCCCGGGATTCCCCGGCTCTCGCGCGGGGCCCGCGGCGTCCGCACAGCTCACCCCCGGCGGCCCTGCCTGCGTTCCCTCCCGCCTCCCGGCAGTTGGCCCGCGGGAACCCGGCCGTCAGGTTTCCCCTGGAATCCCGGGACGGTGTCAGGCGGGGGATCCGCGCGGCCGAGTCCAGGTGGGTGAGGTGAGGCGGGGCGGCGGCGTCGCCTCTGGGCCGGGCTTACGACCTGCTGGCGGCTGCCCAATTTCGCTGAGACTCAGGACGAGGGTCGGGGCGGCAAGTCGTCACAGGGGTCGCGGTAGACGGGTGTGCAGCCGGAGATGAAGAGCGGGAAGGCGAGGACAGAGCAGTCACCTGCGGGGTGCGCGGTCTGACGGGAAGTCCCGGACGGGCGGTGAGCGGCAGGTGCAGAGCCGCAGCCCCGGGAGCCGAGGCGGCTGGGAGGAACGGGGACCGGGCGGCAGCACACGCTGCCTGGAAACTCGCAGTGCACAGGGGAGGGGGACGGGCACCCACTCCAGACTGGCCAAATGAATCTCAGAGGGCGCCCCGAGCGATGGGGAGCGAAGGTTAGGGGAAGAGGCAGGAGAAAAGCTTCTTGGGGCGAAGGGCGTCGTCGCCAGAGGGGCTCACCGGTGACCCGCAGGATGGGGTGCGAGGGGTGGGCCGGAGGTCGGCACAGCTGCACCGGGAGAATGAATCAAGAAAGGAGCGAGGAAGCCTGTCTCATCCAAAACGCTGTAACTTCTGTGGTCATTGCACAAATCCTGAAGGGAACGCTATTAGCCGTCTCAGCATTTATCACCTGAAAATGCGAAATTCAGGTGCAGCTCCGTTTAGCTTCATGAACTTCAGTCCCCGCATATGAAAGGATGAGAACTAATATGACAATCATGTCAGGACTAATGATAGATCACACAGGTTGACACCCTGCAATTAAAAAACAGGACTTTGGCTAACTCAGCAAGTAATTCTTTACTTAAAATTTCTATGTAAACAAAACAAAACAGATGGACTGTTGTTCTGCTGGAAAAATGTACCAACATTTTCACAAAACAAATTAAAAGATGGCTTTGCTTTCATTGTCATGGTTCTCTTATGACAGAATAGATTGGCTTTTCTGGGAGGGGCCTAGATTTACTGTTTTGGTTACATTTTGAAGTCAATGTAATTCTTTTTTTTTTTTTTTTTTTTTTTGAGAGGGAGTCCCACTCTGTCGCCCAGGCTGGAGTGCAGTAGTGCGATCTCGGCTCACTGCAACCTCTACCTCCTGGGTTCAAGCAATTGCCTGCCTTAGCCTCCCGAGTAGCTGGGATTACAGGTGCCTGCTACCCTGCCCAGCTAATTTTTGTATTTTTAGTAGAGATGGGATTTCACTATCTTGGCCAGGCTGGTCTTGAACTCCTGACCTCGTGATCCACCCACCTTGACCTCCCAAAGTGCTGGAATTACAGGCATGAGCCACTGCACCCAGCCAATTACTTCTTTTTTAATCTACCACAAATTTCTGTTGTAACTATAAAAGGATTTGTATAATTTTATATTCTTACACTAATTTTTCTTCACAGGTGATTTATTTGCCACAAAAGTATTCTTTGAAGGATGGCAGAAGCAGTTTTGATTGATCTTTTTTATTTGAAATTGAACTCTCAAAAAAACTGCCCTCAGACATTACTGAAGACGTTGAATGCTGTCCAATACCACCATGCAGCCAAGGCCAAGTTTCTTTGTATAATGTGTTGCAGTAACATCAGCTGTGAAAGGCATGGAGAACAAGATAATTGTGAGTTAGAAACAAGCAATGGATTATCAGCTGTCTTGGAAGAATTTGAGATTGTTAGCTGTCCCAGCGTGGCTGCCTCTTTGTATACCATTAAGCAGAAAATTGATGAAAGAAATCTGAGCAGCATTAAGGTAATTGTACCCAGGCACAGGAAGGCATTAATGAAAGCTTTTATTGATCAACTCTTCACCGATGTTTACAATTTTGAATTTGAAGATTTGCAAGTGACTTTCAGGGAAGACTCTTTGAAACAGTCCATTGAAATAAACATTATCACAGCTCAAGAACTAAGAGAAATTCAGAATGAAATAGAAACATATTTGAGAAGTCTGCCAGCACTGAAAGGAGAATTAACTATTATCACTTCTCCTTTGATCCCAGGTATATTAACCACTAACTGTTGTTTTTACTTTGTACATGACAAACTAGTCTTTCTTCAGAGGTAGTTCACCTCTTGTTTTCCTCCTTTCTTTTGTTGACTGTTGTGAGCTTATTACTCATTAGCATCAGTGGCAACACAGAGGTGTCATGTATGGCCATGTAGTTTCAGAGGTATCAAGGGATAACCCCTTCAAAGCCACCCTAAGTAAATAAATTTGCTTTATGAAAATTTAATATTAAGATAAATAATCTAACCCTCCTTTGCAATGAGACTTATGATACTGAAAATCTTCTATTTAAAAATTCTAGGCTGGGTGCAGTGGCTAACATCTTAATCCCAGCACTTTAGGAGGCTGAGGTGGGTGGATCACGAGGTCAGGAGATCGAGACCATCCTGGCCAACATGGTAAAACCCCATCTCTACTAAAAATATAAAAATTAGCTGGATGTGGTAGCACATGCCTGTAATCCCAGCTACTTGGGAGGCTGAGGCAGGAGAATAGCTTGAACCAGGGAGTTGGAGGTTATGGTAAGCTGAGATCATGCCACTGCACTCCAGCCTGGTGACTGGTGACTGGTGACAGAGCGAGACTGTATCTCAAAAAAAAAAAAAAAGAAGAAAAAGAAATTCTAAAATTTCAAATCATCAGCACCTTCTTAGAAGAGTAAAATTTAAAACAATCAATCTTATTTCTTGGTTAAACAGTATTTACTGTGAGCTATATGCTGTTAGATATAACAAAGCCAGATGAGACGCAAGATACCTTTTGAAGTGCAATAATTTCATAGGGAGAGTAAAACAAATACAAAGCAGAATGCAATGAGAACATATGGAGGTACAAAATGCCATAGAAATTAAAAGCCAAATAACCAGGACAGGTAGCAGTAATCAGGGAAGGTCTAATTGAGAGACTGGTCTTTTGTATAGCATCTTTTAAATCTTTACTACTTATCTTCAACAGATATTTTCATACACGGATTTACTACAAGAACAGGTGGGATATCTTATATACCAACTCTTAGCTCATTCAATCTCTTCAGTAGTTCCAAACGGAGAGATCCCAAGGCAGTGGTTCAAGAAAATCTGCGTAGATTGGCGAATGCTGCAGGATTTAATGTGGAGAAGTTTTACCGAATAAAGGTAAAATTTTGCTTTATATTTTGAAAGATCTAAAGTATATTTTTACTTTACTAGTAACTACATGGACTTTAAGCTAATTAACTTTTGTATCTGGCACTTTATCTAAAGTTTTAGAATAATGCTGTGGTTGTTTTTCTTAGATTTAAACACCATAGCCTAAAGATCAGTTCTATTTCTCACACACACACACACACACACACACACACACACACACAGAGGGAGAGATGTATATATGCACACACACAGAGTAAGTTCTCACTTAATGTTGTTAATAGGTTCTTGGAAATTGTTGACTTTAAGTGCAACGACATAATAAAACCAGTTTTACCATAGGCTAATTGATGTAAACAAGAATTAAGTTTCCAAGGCATATTTCTTGTCATAAAAACATCACCAAACTTCTAAATAAAGGCCAACACATTCCTAGTATTAAACATGGAAATAAATGTGAGCTAGACATACATTTAAGAAAGAGTAATAAAAACAAATCAGATAACTATTTACCAAATTATTTCAGTTCAGGCTCTTTGAAACAGTCCGTTGAAATAAACATTATCACTTCAGGGCTTCAGGTGGCTGGAGCCTATCCTGGCAGATCAGGACACAAGGCCACAATCCACCCTAGACTGGATGCTATTCCATTGCAGGGTGCCCTTACACACACACACATACGTACTACTGGGACTATGTAGACACCCCAGTTCATGTAACATGCACTTCTTTGGGATGTGGGAGGAAACTGGAGTACCCAGAGAAAACCCATGCAGGCATGAGGAGAAGGTACAAACCTCATACATTCAGTGGCAGGGTGGATAATCAATTTTTTTAATTAACATTGCAATGAAATGATATAGAATAAAGTGACATTATTCAAGAGCCTGCTATATATTTCATCTGGAGTCCTCAATTTTAAAAGTACAGTTAATTCTCAGAGAGTAGACCACCACTGCCATTGATTAGAAGAAAGGCAACTGAATGTTTGTAGAGAAGGGCCATTATTTTCTAAATCTACTTCAGGAGGAACTAGGGTCATAGGTGATGAGATAATGTCTTGTTTCTTACAGAATTCTAGCTTTGCTTGAGTCTGGGAAGAGTAAAAGTATAATTGATTTGGTAACTAACTTTCTTTTAAAAGAAAAATTTTCATTTTGTTCAAAGTGCTTTAAGAAGTGATTTACCCATCTTTATGGAAAGATGTTCATTATTCACCATATTGAATTTTATAATGTTAAACTCTGCCTTTCTTTGTATGAAATATCAGAGATTATAATACCGAAAGCTGAAATAGTTAAATTATAAGTAAATTTGGTGTTTTCCCATCTATAGAAGTGATATATTTAATGAATGCTAGTAATCTTACACTGGTTGTATAATTTTATACTGCAGTGAGTACCTTCAGAGAAACTTACGGTGTAAGAATCCCACTTCCTAAACATTTTTGTTGCACATTTTTGGTATTAGACTGATCATTCCAATGACGTCTGGATTATGGGAAGAAAGGAGCCTGACTCTTATGACGGAATAGCTACAAATCAGAGAGGAGTCACAATAGCAGCTCTTGGTGCTGACTGTATACCAATAGTTTTTGCAGATCCAGTCAAAAAAGCATGTGGGGTTGCTCACGCTGGTAAGTATATTTAATCAAACATTTAGGATTTTTTTCATTTTGTTGTGCAGGAAAAAATTGTAATTTTTCTGATGGACATGGCAAACAGTTAAATACATTACATTGTGCTAAGTCTAATGATGGAAGGAGGTGGCATACTTTTATTACAAGGACAGATAAGAGGAGTATCCACATCAAATTATATGAATTATAGTAGAATTCCCAAAGGAGGTGGCACCGAGGTTGATTCCTGAGGAATTCGTTGGTTTTGGCTAGGTAACAGTGTTCCTCAGCAAGGGTGCTATTAACCTTTTGGGCAAGATAATCCCTTGCAGATTAAGTGTCTTTAGCCCCTGAAATTCTTTATGACAGTATCACCTCCAGTTTTTGTAATAAACACAACCAACCAACCAATCAAACAACAACTAAACCCTCCAAGCTTTTCAAAACACTGCCTAGGGAAGTGGTACTGCCTTCTGGTTGAGAATTCTTGAAATCCAGGCCATAGGGAATAGGAATGTTAGGCATGTTGCAGAAAGGTGTTCATCCAGATGAAGCAGCATGTGTAAAGCTAGGAAGATAGGAAAAAGCAAGATGTTTTGAAAACTGTGTTTAATTTAAATCACTTAATGTATTTAACTATAACTATTCTCTGAGAGCAAAGAAGTATTTTTAGAAGATGAATTGTGTTAAGGATATGGAGTTTTGTTTTCTGAAGGTATTTTAAAGTAGTTTTTAGATAACCCAGTAGCTGTGATTTTGCATGAAAGGAGGGATGATCTTTAAAATTTCCTTCTGCTTGTAAATCTATGGCTACTTTGCTTTTTAGTTCATAGGTAAAAAAGAAAGTAGCATATTTTTATTTTGATTTAACTGAACTAATGGAATTGAATGAGTAGAAGTCAGGTTTACTACATGACATTGTCAAAAAGTTATTTAAAATTTGAGTCTTGGCTCCTGGATATAAAAAGGGGATATTATTTTTTTACTTCTTAGGTTTGGAAACATTTTAGTTTAAAAATATCCAAGATCAAGCAGTCAAAATGAAGTTAATGTGAATTTCAAGTCATTAATAAGTTAACTTTGAAAGAACAAAATACATAGGAATACAGTTACCTTAACCAAGGAGGTTACAGATCTCTACAATGAGAATTAAAAAGCACTGCTGAAAGTAAGCATATATATGTACATGTGCTGTAGGAGAAAAATCAAATAAAAAGGAGGTAGATGATCTACAGGTGAGAGGATAATTAAGAAGGCTCACCAAAGAAGAGAGATACTCTAATCTGTAGAAAAGCCCAGACAATTTCTCTCTTTAACTCAAAATGTCTAAATCTAGTTGCTTCCCTTTGAACATCACTGTTTGCATCTTTCTAGGTGCCTCAAATCATTATGTCAGAAACTCAACATTTTTTTCCTAAAGTCTTCTCTGCCACTTAGGTTTTCTATTTTGATTATTGATATCCTACCTACTTAGAGATAGAAACTTGATGTCTTCATTCTCTTCCCATAACCACATATCCACTGGTTTACCTGTGGAGGCCAGACCTATCACCTACATACTTCTTGCTTTCATCAACTTCTTTTATCTGAAAAAATTGATCTCTTCACCTGAGTGCCTAGCTTTTGAAGAGTATGAGTATGGAGTACTTAAGGAAGGTGTAAGGGGACTCATTATTGGCCAACCAGATCAGCTGAATCAAACTCAGATATAGGGAATAAAGGAAAAATGCAATATGCTTAGCTTTCTGTCTTTGGCAACGAGATGGTAGCAGAAATAAAGAATATGGTTTTATCTTAGAACTCTGCGAGGTAGATGAGACAAAGATGGCAAGGGAATGATAGTCTGGGCAAGTGGGGAGTAGAAAGAGACTGTTAATAGAAATATAAAAGATATATTTTGGTGTAAAAGTGAGAGAGAGATAAAAACTGCAAAACATTGCTGAAGAACATTGAAGAAGACACAAATAAATGGAGAGAAGTTCTGTGTTCATGGATTGGAAGTTAGAGAAACACAAATCAAAACCACAATGAAATATTACGTCACGTCTATTAGGATGGCTAATATTTTAAAACCTCAGAAAATAAGCATTTTTGAGGATGTGGAGAAATTGGAACTCTGGTGCACTGGTGGTGGGAATGTGAAATTGTGTAACCCCATACTGGAAAACAGTATGGCAATTTCTCAAAAAGTTATAAATAGATTACTATATAATCCAGAAATTCCCCTTCTGGAAATATATCCAAAATAATTGAAATCAGGAACTCAAAGAGATATTTGCACACCAATGTTGATAACAGAATTATTCACAATAGCCAAAAGGTGAAAGCAATCTAACATTGGTAGATGAATGGATAAGCAAAATGTGGTATGTGCATACAGTGGAATATTATTTAGCTTTAAAAAGGCAGGAAATTCTGACACATACTACAATATAGATGAACCTTAAGGACATTATGCTAGATGAAATCAGCCAGTCACAAAAAGATAAATACTGTACTGATTTCACTTATATAATATACCTATACACTAATATACCAAATGTATAGGCACTGGAAGAAGAGTGGTGATTGCCAGGGCCTGGTAAAAGGAAGAAACAAGGAGTTATTGTTAATAGTTGCAGAGTTTCCATTTTATCAGATGAAAAAATCCTGGGGATTGGTTATACAACAATGTGAATTTAACACTACTGAACTGTATACTTAGAATACTAAATTTTGTGGGTTTTTTTAAACCACAATCTTTTAAAATATGAAAAAGAGAGTGAAGACAAAGAAGCTATGATCTCATTGGAAACTAAAAGTATAGAGCATTTTTAAAAGGAAGATAAAGAAAGCTCCCATTATATGACTCTTTTGTGTCAGGTGCTTTGTGTAGTATAGCTCATTTTTAAAAACCACATGATAATGTGGTTCATTTATTATTTCTGGACTTAGAAAAATATACAAACTAAATCTGCTCACTTTAACTTATACATAAATTTGGGTGAAATTTTGCTATGTTTTGACTTTCCTTATCTCTTTTTATTCCTATTTACCAGGTTGGAAAGGTACTTTGTTGGGTGTTGCTATGGCTACAGTGAATGCTATGATAGCAGAATATGGCTGCAGTTTGGAAGACATTGTTGTTGTACTTGGACCATCAGTAGGACCTTGCTGTTTTACTCTTCCAAAAGAATCAGCAAAGGCATTTCACAGTCTTCATCCTGCATGTGTACAACTATTTGACTCACCAAATCCCTATGTTGACATCCGTAAAGCTACAAGGTATGTCCAATTTCATTCTAGAACTGCAAGTTTGATTATTTCTTATTGCTCTAAAATGAAAATTGTTTTGGAGAACAATTAGTAACTCTAAGAAGACTTTAGGTGGAGGTCATTTAAGTAGCTGACATGCACATGTACACAAACTATCATTTTACTTATGAAATCGGTTTTCATTTGAGTTCGAATAACAGAAATTTTCCTGTCTAGTATCATTGATTTAAAAGTGAAGGAAGAAACATTTGGTATTTAGTTTTAAGAGATCTACTTAAACTTCATATAGAAAAGTTGGTGTGTACTTTACTTAACAGTCATTCCTCAGCTAAATTCTCCTAAATGTAATGTACTATCAGGAAGCTGATATTTCATATATATAATTGCACTTTAAGTTCAAGGGTACATGTGAAGAACATGCAGGATTGTTGCATAGTACATACATGGCAATGTGGTTTGCTGTCTCCATCCCCTATTCCCCCCCAACAGACCTCAGTGTGTGATGCTCCCCTCCCTGTGTCCCTGTGTTCTCATTGTTCAACACCTGCCTATAAGTGGGAACATGTGGTGTTTGATTTTCTGTTCTTCTGTCAGTTTGCTGAGAATGATGGTTTCCAGGTTCATCCATGTCCCTACAAAGGACATAAACTCATTATTTTTTATGGCTGCATAGTATTCCATGGTGTATATGTGCCACATTTTCCCTGTCCAGTCTATCATCGATGGGCATTTGGGTTGGTTCCAAGTCTTTGCTATTGTAAACAGTGCTGCAGTGAACATACGCGGGCATGTGTCTTTATAATAGAACGATTTGTAATCCTTTGGAAACATTTGGCATTTAGTTTTAAGAGATCTACTTAAACTTCATATAGAAAAATTGGCGTGTACTGTACTTCACAGCCATTCCTCAGCTAAATTCTCCTAAACGTAATGAACTATCAGGAAGCTGATGTTTTAAAATTATTCTTGCTATCTAATTAACTGGAAGAATATATTTTTTAGAAAAAATATTAAATAATATAAATACGCAGTTTTTTACTTTCAAGATTTTTATAGTTCCTTGCATTTTTTAATTTATGAAGTTTTGCTATTAGTAACTGTTGAAATTGTCATTACTACAAAGGCAAATTAATGTTTATTAAATCATGTTTCTATTCCAGTCACCAAAACCTAACCGAGAGTCTGCCTCATTTAGTACAGACGTGGAAAAGATTGAAATTGATTCTTTTTTCTTTTCTTTTTTTTTTGTTTTTGAGCAGGCACCAGGCTGGAGTGCAGTGGCACGAGCTCAGCTCACTGCAACCTCCGCCTCCTGGGTTCAAGCAATGCTCCTGCCTCAGCCTCCCAAGTAGCTGGGACTACAGGCACGCACCACCATACCCAGCTAATTTTTGTATTTTTTAATAGAGACAGGGTTTCACCGTGTTGGCCAGGGTGGTCTTGATCTCTTGGCCTCATGATCCGCCTGCCTCAGCCTCCCAAAAGGCCTGAGCCACTGCTCCTGGCCGAAATTGGTTCTTAAATGTGACTTTTTAAATCAAGTATTACTACTTTTTAGTCATATTTGATATAAGGTGTTCACGAAGAAGCAAGTTTTCTGTGAAAAATTTGGCCAGGAGAAGGAAAGGAGATGAAGGGCCAGATGACTAAAAAGCACACTCTGATACTCTGGCTGAGCCAGATGAATTTTGTCTGGTACCCTGTTAACTTTTATAGAGATTTCTTCTTAAATGAACACTTGATTTTGATTATAAAGTTCTGTATCTAGATTATGTCCAGAGGACAATACTGTGCATATTTGAACTTAGGTGATAAATGCTAATAAAGTGTTGCATTTTTTTTCCTGACTAGTCCATGTTCTGTAAGTGAATAACAATATGCGTTGTTCTAGGTATATCTTTCCCGAAACTCTTTCATGCCAACATCCATACTTTTTTTCATATTGCTTTGGCTATTGGGACAATAAACTCTTGCTCTCTTTTGAAAAATGTTTTTCCTAAGGATTCTTCTAGAACGGGGAGGAATTCTTCCACAGAATATTCAGGACAAGAACCAAGATCTCAACCTCTGTACATCTTGCCATCCTGACAAGTTTTTCTCCCATGTCCGAGATGGCCTTAATTTTGGTACACAAATTGGCTTCATATCAATTAGAGAATGAGGTACAGTAGGTTTTCTTTCCTCTTTCCATTTTTTTCTCTCTTTCATCCCTTTCTCCACCTCTCCCTCCCTTTCTCTTTCTTCCTCTTTTAGCCTTTTCTTCCCCTCATTTTAAAAAAACAATTAATTATGTTTAACTTTACTCATTTATTCCTAGAGGAAGAATGATGTTTCTAGTTTTTTCGTGATGTAATAACGGTAGCAAAGTTCATTATCAGTCACACTCTATTATAAAGAGCAGCCATTACTTTTTCTAGTTAATGAAGAATAATTAGGCAGGCTTATATTAAAAGTATATAAATAAAACAATTTAACCTTTAAAAAGGTATATATGTATTTCCTTTCTCTCTACTATGTACTTGATATCTGTACCTTCCCTATCATAACACCCTTACAACTTTCATGTTTTTATTTTTTTAAATAAATCTTTGCATAAAGATTCTAAATTCTAGAATAATAAGAAATTCTCATATACAAACTATCTGGATTTTCAACTTGATTTCCAAATGATTATCTGCAGTTGGAGTTGGCCAAATTTTTCTTTTAAAATGACAGTAAATATTTTAGATTTTGTGGGGCATACAGTGTGTGTCTCAGCTAATCACTTTGCCATTGTAGAGGTAGAGCAACAGCAGATACTGATAATATAGAAATGAATGAATATGACTGTGTTCCAGTAAAACTTTGTTTACAAAAATCAGGTGAGGGAGCCAGGCACAATGGCCCTGCTCCCATAGTCCCAGCTACTTGGGAGGTTGAGGTAGGAGGACTGCTTTAGGCCAAGAGTTTGTTTGAGTATAGCATGGGTAACATAAACCCTGTTTCTAAAAAATAAAATAAACAGGTGAGGGGCCAGATTTGGCCCATAGGCTATAGTTTGCTGACACATGATACAAAGTCTAGAGCAAAATTGAATATGATTTCCTTAAAATAGTATTTATTAGAGATGGTTTTGTTAGAGTTATAAAATATATATCATGACAGTGATTTAACACTGTCCCTTTAGCATATATGTAATTTTCCCTAAGGTTACTTCAAGCTGATTTAATATTATTTTTCACTCTTTACAATGTTTTTAGCTCTTTAACATACAGAAAAACTTTAATAGACTTCATGATACTTATTTTGGTATTCTATTAACACTAGTAAGGGTCTCATATTTGATTTCCATGTATTTTACAGATATTTGACTGGATTTTTGCATAACTGTTTCCTGTCTCCTTCCAAACTGACTGCAAGAGAGAAATTTAGCTGTTTGATTTACTTAAAACCAAATGGATTACAATGGATAATTCATCTTTAGGGCACATTTTTACTATTATTCAAAGCCAAATTATTTTCACTTAATTATAGTAATAACTGACAAAAATCAGTATGTTGTAGCTAATATGTCTTATGCATGAGAATTATTCTTAAAGTTTGTTCTCCTTGTTTATTACACAGATCAGGAATAGATATGTTCAGTTCAGTATTATTGAATACCCTCTATTGGTCAGGCATTGTGTTAAGCATAGGTGAATCAAAATGAACACGACTTTTTTTCTTTGAGTCTAATACAGTGAAGGAGATAAATACTTCTACAACTTAAATTTAATTTTAATAGCAGTAGAAGAGAAGGAATAGAGGTTAATTTTATCCAGAAGGTAGAATAGAGGAAATATGACAGAGAAAATCACGTATCACATGGGCCTGAAAAATGTCGAGGCTTTTGGCAAATGAGGAATAACCATAACAGGTAGAGGGAACACCACGAACCAGGGCATGAAACTGAAAGTGCATAACATATTCTAGAGAAAGAAGGGTGTGGGCAGGAGTTAGGGCTGGAAAAACAGGTTGGAAACAGATAAGTAAGAGTTTAAATGCAGTGTCAAAAGAGCTTGCAGTTTATTTTCCAGGCAATAGGTAGGCAGAAAAAAAAATGTGTTTTTATTTCCATGGCATCATACTTAACAGGATGGATTTAAATTGTGTGAGACCAAAGCACAGAGACTAGATAAGAGGCGGTCAAAATATTTAAAAAGAAATAATGAAGATCCAATGAAGGAAGTGGAAATTAAAAGAGAGAAGGGAGTAGATGGAGTAAAGAGACATTTCGGAAATGGAATCAATAGCTGCCCTTACTAGATAATGGAAGTAAGAGGCGAGGAAGAGTGGAAAAGTCGTTAATGACTAAGATTTCTGCTTGGTCGCTTACCAAGATTGGCAACAAAGGGAGGGAGATGGTTTGGGAAAAGAGAAGGATAATGAGTTTGACTTTACACAGAATGAAGGGCATCCACATAGAAATCTTTGGTTAATAATTAGAAATATAGACCTAGAACTTAGGAGGAAACCTGAGACAGAGACAAAGATTTCAAAGCTCACAATGTAGAAGTGATACCTGATTCTATTGGAGCAGGTTGGATCATCTAGGCAGAAGTTAGGATGAGAAAAAAGGAAATTTAAGAATATAACCCTAAAAAACACCTGCATTTCAAGAATAAGAAGCAGAAGGGGTTAAAAAAAAATTAGTCATAAAAGTAAGAAAAAATAGGGTAGTTGTTTTGAAGAAGCCAGGATAGGTGTGGAAAGTACTCAAAAAGAAATCTTGAGGGATGAAATAAAGTGATAATTAAAAAGAACTCAGTGGATTAAATGTATTGAAACTGTTCTATAGGTAATGGTCATTGAGTCAGCTTTCAGTGCATTGAGGAAGAAGATGCATAGGCGTCAACTCTTCTTTGAGAGTATTTACTAGAGAAGAGAAAAAGGCTGGGACTGCTTCTTGAAGGAAGGGACTTTTTTTGGATGAGTGGTTTTCAGTATATTTGTCAGCTAAAGAGAGAAGTTAAGTTTTCATTTGGGAAAAAAATGGTACATATATTTAATGTAAGTTATCACATTGCGTCTTGAAATTTTTCTTATTTAATATACATATTTCCTACATGTATATGTGGTGGCATGATAGCAAATAACAATGTTTGGTATTTCCGAAGGACTTTTACAAACATTACCTCATTTTACCTTTATAGCTACTTTGAAATACACAGGCATTATCCCTTTTATTCAGCTGAGAAAACTGAGCTTCACTGAGGTGGAAGTCAAAAATCACATACTTTGTGATGAAGATTGGAACATACATTTTGTGACTCTAGTTTTTCTTTCAGATTTTAAAATTAAAGGGATCTAAATTATATTTTTAACTTTTCGTTAACATCATTTACTCATACATTCAGTGAACATTTTGTGGAGGTACTGGGATAGGTTAAAAAAATACAGTTGTAGCCCTCAGGATATTTAATATCCAGTGAAAAGTGACAGTCACTAAACCAGCAATTTCAATACTTTGATATATGTTGTAAGGTTGTGACAACCTGATTCTTGTTTAATTCTATATTTCCCTTAGCCCAGTGTTAAGTTTAAATAAAATATCTCATTTTTTCCAATTCAGGAAAGGCACTAAATATAAAGCACATAATACAAATGTTGAACTCATCCAAAATATTATTTTGTTTGATGACAATGATAAAGATTAAGGAATAATTCCATGTATTGAGAAAGATTGATAATTTTCTACTTCTTCACTATGTATTATTTTGTTTGACATTGGCAAATTTAGAGTATCCCAGAGACACATTTCACTTTGTGTACTACAACATTCTAAAGTCAAATAAAATTATTTTTGATTATCTGATTTTGTATTATCTCTGCCAAAATACATAATGAAAAGTTGTCTCCTTGCTGTTTTACTGAATGAAAAGTGTTGATTCAGTAACTCAGAACTATCAGGTTATTAAGTAATTATTTTATTGCTTCTACAAGATAACTTATCACTCTCACACATTTGTATGTCGGTTTCTAGGACTTTTGGGGTATAACAACAGATTATTTTTAGTAAATTAAGTTTTGTTTTGTTTTTGTTTTTAATTTTATTTTTGATTTATAAACAATCATGGTACCTATTCAGGGCTATATAATAATGTTTTCATTCATATAATATACAGTGATCTGATCAAGGTAATTAGCATATCTGTCATCTCAAGCATTTTTGTGTTATGAACATTTAATATGTTCCTTCCAGCTATTTCAAACTATGCAATATACTGTTGTTGACTATAGTTATCCTACAGTGGTATAGAACACTAGAACTTATTCCTCCTAAAGTTTTGTTTTTAATCTAAGTTTTTGTTTTACAGTTAACTGTACATAGGAAATATTGATTGCTATTTTATTAATAAGAGGAGTTAAGTTTATAAATCAAATAAACATTAATGAAATGCCTTTTTGGAAGTACTATCAAATTAAAAGTTACTGGGCCATTTATCCAACCGTAATTTTAAATTGTGAAGAATAGCACAGTGAACAAATATGCTATAGTACATTGTTTTATAAAACAAATGAGATGATCTTACCACTAGGAGGCAATATTTCAACAAGTAGCTCTACTCCTATTTCTTGTTATAAAGTTGAATCAATCTTAAACTCTATTTTCTTGTGGGGAAAAAAAAAAGGCAGAGGGAGGGCACATTTAAAGTTAGTGAATGTGTTGCTCTTACTTTAGGCATAACATATGGTAGTTCAAGTAGATTAAAAGCATTTAGGAACCCTCACCCACCTCTATCTCACTCCTAGAGAATCTCTAGTAACTGCTTTTCTGTAAGTAGATTTTTGGGAGAAACTCGGAGAAGCTTTTTCTGTGTAACATGACAAAACAGAAATAATACTTATATGTTCAGAAGGTGGAAGGAAAGGTAACGGTGAGTTATATGCTTTTATATCTCAAAGTGGTATTTGTTATTTGTTTTCACGTGGTTGTCCTAGAGTTATACTTCCAATGTATCCATCTTGGTGTGTGAACTCTTAGAGAATGCTACCAATCTATGAAAGTTCAGCACTTTAAAGAAAGTATTACTCAGTTATCTGTGTGTTGTGTTTGTATGCATGGGTCTTTGTGTATGTGCTAAATGGCAAACAAGAAATATGTGTGTGTTTAATATGATATATAGCCTCTTTGCCCCAGCTA